GTCAATTTTCGTCTATAACACTTCGATTTCTAGCTATCTGCAAAGTTTCAACCCAATGGTACATGCACTTCAAGAGATATAGGGCTTTAAAGGATGCAACTTTAATGTCACGTGACTTGCCTTTTTAATGGTGTCACACACATCATATGGTGTCAATTTTCGTCTACAACACTCAACTTTATTAGCTTTGGCAATGTTTCAACCTAATGGGCCATGTTCTCTAGGAGATGGGGTTTAAATGATGCACTTTTAATGTGGCCAGTCAGAACGATACAAGTGCCGACGTCTGGCTGTTGGAAAACGTGTACAAACCATATGGAGAAAAATGGAATATTCAAAATTCTATGATAAAGCAGGTGATGACGTCATACATTGGCACACATCTTCAGACGATAGTCTAACTCTCTGGCAGGTTTGCAGGGGATGGGACCAAAGGAAGGGAAAGACGTTGACTATAGAACGACTATATTTTATGTCGTTTGGATATAAGTGGAAAAAAGCAGGGAAAAAAAGGGAAAAAAAGAAAAAGAAAAAAGTCCTATGAAAAACAAGCACTGTTTCTGCCGGTGCCCGAAACAGCAGCCCCGCCGTAACAAGTAACAAAGACACAACAAATTACATTCACAATGCTCTTCGTGCACCACCCTTTACATAGGCAACGTGTACCTACAGTGTTGTACAAGGTCTTGCAGAGAATTCACGAGCTCACTCGGGGCAGGCCGCGGCAGGTGTGGATTTAGAAGCTAACTTTGCATGGCGCCAAAATTGTTTTGAGGGCTGAAACTTGGGACATTTAAGTGTAGACGACGTAAGGTTTAGTTGGTGAAAAAGAGGTCCAACTTCCGACTGATAACTTGAGAAATTCTGAGTAGCGTATATGGGCCACAATGAATAAAAAAGCACGTTTATTTAAAAAAAAACTCACTCGCTCATAGTCGTTATTATCAGAATAACAAAAGCAAAGTCTAGTACGTGGGCCTCAAGAAAATCTTCCAAAAAACCAATAATTGTCTGTTGTTTACCAAATATTGCAATCTTTCAGATTTTTGAACTGTAATAGATTCATGTTAATTGAATAATGACCGCTTCTACTGACTTTTGTCTCCAAAAACCCTGTCGTTGGTCGTACCTAACCCCACTGACACATCACCACCCTACTCTCTCTATCTCTGGTAATTCTACTATCATCAGTCCTACCATAAGGATCGTCATCACCATCACCATCATCACCAAGAACACTAAAAATGATTTAAACTCGACCTACTTATTTGAAGGACCTCCCCTGAATCGTTTTATCTCCACTGATGCTTGGTCGAATTACTTCCTTTTAAAAGGTACTAAAGTTTACTTCATTTTCAGTTTTGAGAAAAACTGAAGTAAGATAAGACAGCGTTAGGAATAACAATACTTTCAAATTCAGTTTGTCCCTATCAATTAGACCGACATCGCATCCTTGACATTTCAGTGAATTTACTTTTTTCTGTGTTTAATTTCATTGAATTATAGCGGCATTGAAATGTGTCCACTGATTTGTTTGTCAGTAAATTTTTGTCATGACGCCACTGACAATCAGACATACCCATTTAAACATCCATTAAAAGGCACCTTTCCCCATAAGATTTTTGTGGTCACGTGTCCAAGGCAAGGCAGTATGAGTGATGACTCAGCTTGTTGGTCAGTGTGAAGAATGAAGTACTTTTATCTACTCAGTGGATAGTTGTTGGGTGGATGAAACCCTGTTTTGTTACCAAACAATTTACATGTAGTTTTCTCAATGTAAAGGGATAATCGAAGCGAATATTGGTGGAAGTTATGCAAATAACGTCCAAACTATCAACACGTCACCTGCTTCACAGCAGTCACGAAAGACGTTTTTAAACTGAAACATCAGCCAACACCATGCATAACTTCTTAAAAGGCGCTTTGAGTTAGGCCTAAACACTCACAAATATCCTTCTATAATCTGGGGCAGTAGCTGTAGCCTTTGCAGTGTGCGCAGATAACCGAAAAATTGGAGCCATTTACAGTGTTTGCCCTGTCGCATACTGTCGCACACAGTACGGTCACGATGTATTATGATGTCTCCGTTCGCTTTAGTACTGCGAATTTGGCTCATTTCTCCCTTAAACTGAAAATTTACAGGACGAATGTCGAACGGATATCTGAATATGGGGAGTTGTTCTAAAAATAATCTATTAGGGTGTCTTGAAGTCATGTTACAACCACCTTGGACGCCATTCTTTTATTCAATTCTAGGCTGAGTGACTGCTGAACTGATATGAATAATTCAGTGTAAGGCGCAAACGAAGCTGTTGATTGGCTCCCCGGAAAGTCGGGAGGGGGGTACAAAGAAAAATGTCAGCATTGCTGAACACAAAATAATGTGCAAGACTACAAAAGTGAAGTGATTCAGACGTGGCATTGGGCAAATAACTTTATTTTAAGGACGCAAGGCGTAAGTTGATAGGCCTAGTGTAACTCTTGATTGATTCAATAGGGTGCATGTAAAGGCCCCTGTGAGTCGTGGTTACAGTTCTCTGCTGAATTGTGCGTGGCCAAAAAGAATTAGAAGCACAAACACACTGGCACAACGATTACAGGGTTTGTAAGTGTTTTATTTAAAACACTGACTAAAATCGTTGGGTGTTCACTCTTAGATGGAGAACAAAAGAGAGAAAAGAAGTAAAAGTGAGGTAAAAGGAAAGTGAATCTGAACACTGAATAAGGGGGCGATATATACAGGGGTGAGAGCTGGGTGGAAAACAAGCTAAAATGGGGTAGAAAGTTGTAATCATAAAATAGTAGGCAGGGTGACTGTGGGTGTAATGAGAAAATGGTCAAGGTGGATCATAACTGGAATTTATGGGTCACAAAGATGTCAACAGGGAAGCCTTAATCTCCGGGTCTTAATTGGAAGGAATGTGAGCCTTGAACTCTAACAGGCTTTGGAGTAAAATGGAATAAAATCTGGGCTTACACTAGTTTAAACCTGCCATGGGTTCGATTCAATGGTTTTGTGACTTGCATTGGTAACAAGAAATAATATGCAAGTCCAAGTCAGGTCACAAGTCATTTTTGCAAGTCCAAGTTGAGTTGCAAGTCAGAAATCGATAGTTACAAGTCAAGTCACGAATCACAACAAATAGCGACTCGAATCCGATTTGAGTCCAAGTCAAGTGACTCGAGACCGCAACTTTGACACCCACGTCTTGATGTTGACATGGATCTTGTCCTCCCCCTTCACCGCGAGTTCCAGGAAGCCGCGCATGAGCGTGGCCCACTCCAGCACGAAGGTGCCGATCAGGAAGTTGAACCCAACAGAGCCGTAGCCGTACTTCTTGAGGAAAGTCAAGAGAAAGCCGATGCCGATAAACATCATCACGTGAACATCTTGAAACACTGCAAAATAACCACAATAAACGAGGTCATTATACAAAATTCACACCGTTTACAATGTGAACTCAGTTCAGCGTATGTGTAAGAGCCAACGAATGGTTAAATAATGTGCCAATAGAAAAAAATATTGGTTGTATAGTGCACGTCAGTAACAGGGAAAAACCCTCCAAATTCCTGCGTTACACAAAGGAAATGCGTTTAATTAACGCAAAAAGGCAGTAAAAGAGGGCTGGCGTATTTTAAGTTTTGGCTGTAAGTATAGAAGAAAGAGAATATGGCAGGCAAGCTGTGTTCTTAATGCAAACTTCTCTCAATTCGAATCACTACGGTTCATTTAAAAAAATCGTGTAAATATTTTTTGAAAATAATGTTACAAGACAGGCAACATTGGTTTGGCTGAGAAAAACAACTGAAAATTACGGGACATCTTGAATAAACCATGCAGTTTATAAACTTAGATACATTTAAGTTGTCTTTCGTTTTATGGTAAATATATTTTCGGGAAACCCTAAAAGTCGCTTAATAATAACAAAAGCATCACTTGATTTCTCTGATTTTTTTTATGCTATCTAACCGGAAATAAAACACCGAGACGAAAAGTACTGCGTATAAACAGGCAACCGCGCGGCTTTTCATGAGAGAATAATGACTGAAACAGACTTCGAATAAAGTAGTTGATTTATTTTCTTGCTCATGAATAAGAGCGTACAACTGAATCGTTGAAATGGATTGAGAAAATCCCCTAAAAGTGGGGTGGATTGCTCCTGATCAAATCCACGCGTCAACACAATGGGATTTAAGGTTTAACCCCATCACGCGAGGTGCAAAAAGTGCAATTACGCGGGACCATGAGACGTGCGTTTTCCATGGTAACTGCTATTTTAATACCCCGTTTGTGGGTCCCGTGGGATCTTTTAAGAGAAACGTCGGGGTCCCGTGGTTGACCCTGCCCAAATTACTTGGCTGGGGCTTCAGATTACACACAAGTCTACGACAGAGGCTGTAGCGACCAGCTGTAGAGTTGTGTTTGTTTTAAGCCGCAGCCAAAATATTCGGACACGTCTTTCCAGTTAGAAGTGTGTGAAGTATGATATGAAAACTCTTTTATATTCCTATTTAGTTAAATGCTTTTAAAAGTGCATTTGTAAACAATTAGAATTATCCATGCTTTCCCAGAAAGCTGAGGGCAATGTTGCTGTGAAGTCATCAAGGGTGGACATAGTTCAACGCATAAGGGTTGTTTATTGTGAACCCAGAAATTACTTAGTGAAAACATTTCTGATGTTTGCTTATTGCTATGCACATAAACAGCTACAAAGCGGCAAAGAAGAGAAAGCCGACAGTCCAACAAAATCTACAAAAATGTAGGACTTTTCTTGTGCAAACCAATGCAGTATTGAGGCTTATTCGTCTGCTGACATCACGGTTTTGCTCATGAATGGGGAAATGCTCAGTAGCATACAAACCAAAAAGACAGTAAAATACCCCTTGAAATAGTGAAACAAAAATTGAAAAGTAGATTAAATGAGACACATAGGTGCCTTTTGAGAGAAAGTTCGTATTAAAATATATTGATGGCAGCTACCCTTTAAGTTTATAATCGATAATGCGGATTGACGAATCCAACACTATGAATCTCAAGAAATTCGAAAGCACTGTAAGCCCTTCGTTTTCATGTCTCGCGCGATTTGACATGATGCCACATTCTATATAATTCCACTGTGCCCAACTTGTCCAAAAAAATTAAAAAATAGGCCTCGATAGCGGATCTATGTGGATTTCGGGAAGACTATGGGGGTGGGTTGAACTGTTAAATGTCACTTCGTATAGCCTTCGGGAGGGTTGCTACATTCGGGGGCTTTTGATACGCTTCTGGGGGAGAGGGAAATAAAACAGAAAATGAATTCATTTTACAAAAAAATCCAACTTCTGCTTCTTTTATTAAAGGAAGGACATAGTTCCCGTTGTTCCCTCCTCCCCCGGCCAATGGGACTGCCACATTCCAGGCCGTTCATTCAAGTACAGATGTGGCAATATGTGGTTCCTTTTAAAGTCGAGTCACCAATTCAATTATTCCACAGGTACTTGGTCCCAAATCCCTTAGATCAATTTTTATGACTGATCGGCCAGCAGTCATTCTTGACAGTTTGACAGGGTTTTGTTTGTATAACATTTCACGGTTTATGATTTGTGGAATTAAGTCTGTTTTGCTTAACTGAAATATACTCACTTTGAATTAGTGTGGAACTTGAGGAATTTTTTTTCATTCGTGTTGCAATCTTCCCACAGTACGTCAAAGACGTTTTGTAATGCCTTCTGGGCGAGGCTGACGACAAAAGTCAAATTTCAACACCAGATTTCAAGAAAGAAAATGGGGACTGGACTTTGGCCACGGGTCCCTTGTCGAAAGACAGCCATTTTTAATGTTAATAATTGTTGCAAATTACTTATACAAATACATGTTTGTCACTACAAGCTCTCAGGCAGCTACAGATATATTCAATTACGTTTCTCATAATTTTGCCACTATAAAGTTGGAATCTTGAGGCATTTTTTTTCATCTCATATAATTATGTGTGGTGCAATTCCATTCCGTGCCCTCGGCAGGTGATTTAGCATTAAACTGTAGCTGCAATCAATTCATTTTAATACAAAAAATACAAAATGCACCTTTGTGTTTCAGCTAACCTATTTTCAACTTTTGTTTCATTATTTCAAAGGGTGTTTTACCGCCTTTTTGGTTTTATACTAATGAGAATTTCCAAGTCCATTGGAAAAATTGCGATGTCATCCCAATGTCAAGTCTCGATGGCTCAACTGGTTTCTACCATGAGGCTATTATTTAATTTAGCTCTATGGTTTGTACACAAACAAGTTCATTATTTTTAAGCTTTTGTCGGACTAAATGCTGACTGACTGTTATTTATGAGCAAATCAATAAGCAAGCATTGATCTCTTTCTCAGAAATGTCTTCATTAAGTGTTTTCAATTTGGACAGAAATACCTATGCATTGAGATATGTTTTCCCTTTTTCCCAACAGCGCCGTCAGTTGTCCAGGAAAGCAGGGATAAATTCAAGTGTTTAAAAGAATGTGCACTTTTCAAAGCATTTAACCAAAAATGTGAACCTGAAAAAGTCTTCATACAGTACATTGAAGAACGGCACAAAGTTGCAGGAAAATTGTGTCCGAGAAAACTTCACTGCAGCTACACCTCAACATTTCCCTGCATGCGACGGGACGTGTCGGATGAAAACCTCTCTGACTGCTTTCATGAAGACCTGTCAGGTAAACCGTTTTCCCCTTGGAATATTACCTTGTGTTAGCCTTCAAACCTCGAAAACGAAATACCGGTTTATGTGTGTATAGGAAGGGTCAATAGTCCTTGAAATTATTATTTTTACCGATTTTATACATACACCGGCCAGTTACTGATCTGTGGATTTTGCACTGCAGTTACCTCGTCTGCAAAATTACTGATTGCCTGTGGGAGATATCGAAGGTCACCCCAAAAACCAGTTGGAGGTTCAAAGTATAAAACCAGTAGGGTTGCAATAATTAATAATAATATCGCAATATTCTACTCGGAGTAGTAGTACAAGGACCGCTATAATGCTGAGTAAAGCCCGTTTCATAAATGATATTCAGAGCAAATATCTGTAAATAATTAGCACGAAGTCGGGAAGTGTATGGAGACACAGATCAGGTGTTTTTGTGCCACGTGTTCAAAAATTAATGATTACCAGTGCACTGGCGAATTTGTTTGCTTGAATGGTGACTCTATGCGATAATAGTCAACGTGTATAAGCATTGTTTTGGGTAGTAAAGCATCTTCGTTTTTTCCAGAACCAGAACCAGATCCAGAACCATTCTTTGTTTGGGGGAGGGGACTTTTTATGGGGCCAAAATTATGAGGATTTTTTTTTTCAGGTAACTTTTCATGGCATTTCGAAATTTTCGGGTCGAGGCTGCTTTACGGGCTCTTTACTTACTTTAGGAAGAAAGAGAAATTAAATAGAGCAAAACAAATCGCCCTTTTCTCATTCGTTTATATTTTTCTTCAATTTTTGGCTTTCTGGGAGGTCATGGTCCCTGTCGCCCCTACCCCTGGCTCCGCCCTTGCTGAAGAGTACGATTCAAAAGAAAGTGATTGGGTAAATTGCAAACACCTTCTTCGATATGTTCTCTTCGATGACGAGTCACTTTTTCCTTATTTTTCAGTGAGATTTCTAGAGTGTAAATTCCCGTCTTCGAGATGTTTTTAACTCCAAGCACACAATGAGAAAAGACCGTCAACTATCGTGGGCGATGTCAGTATAAATATATTAAATTAATCAATGCCCATAAAAATAAATTGAAAACACAGGATCAAATCAAACTTTTACTGTATCCCTACACCAAAGTAGTTGGCACTACTAGGCCATGATCTAACCAGGCAGTGCACAATTAAGTTCAATGAGAACGTCCTAAGCTTTCATTTGAAAATGAAACACTCTTCTGTTGACTTCCAACAGTAACTTTTTTTTTTGGCTTTTAAGTACATCGTGGAACATGTTCATGTTCGAGGTACCCGCTGCTACATCTAACTCGGACCGGCCAGCCGACCCCAGCAAGCTCGGTGGTCGAGTGGTTAAGACGTCTGCACCGGTAAGCCGGTGCATGGTCGTGATTTAGAGTCCCAATCGAGTTAATAGGTGTGATTCGTTTCCGCAAGTTTACAGACAACCGCTGAATTAAGACGTATTATTGAATACGAGTCGGTAAGGGTAAAAACGGGTTATTAAAAATAACTCTTGTCCTCTTGAACCGAGTACCAAGCAATTGAAGACTAATCCTGGGTGGAAAAAGTGCGCTTTCATAACCAACTTTGTGTATAAATGCTTTCTGAAAAATCGTTTGCTACAAAGTTCGTGTCAGTTTCCAAATATTGACATAAGATGTCGAAAGTATTCACCTGTGAACTTACTCTCGCACCTTTTGTTGCTAATACAGTATACAATTCAATGGCCTCTCACAGGATTTATTTTTGTTCATTAATTAATTTTGGATTTTTTTCTGTTGTTTTTTGCCATTGTATTTGCTATTTTTTGTTTTGCGTTGGGTGTGTGTTTTGTTGTCACCACAGACGACGGTGACAGCCAACACCATGAGGAGCCCTTGTGTTTGTTTTCAATTATATTGTTCCAGGTGCTTATCTTGCTCGAACTGCCACCAGCCAGCCTGGGCCACTGAGATACGTGGCTTCTCTGTGATTCTTTGAAAGTGGAGTGGAGGAGCTTTGACGGGCCAATGAGGACTACCTGGAAACCAACCCGGGCGAGTGAAGGGGCTTCATGGGCAGATTTTACAATCTATTTCCCCATCCCCAATTAGGGGGCGGCCTTCTATCATCAGCTCACTACGCCTCCGGTTACCTGAACTACAAATAATGCGCAATAGGAGGGCACTGCGACGGTACAACTTCATTCTGAGTACAACGGTTAAACTGGTCTTCTCAACAAGAACAAAACAAAAAAATAAATTAAAAAAAATGTAGCAAACAATTACAGCCAATCAAGGTGCCGCTCGGCAGAAATCATCCCCCCCCCTCAAAAAAAAGTTTGTGTGCATATAGGGCCTACGCAGGGTCTCAAAATGAATGGAGATCAAGTTGGTGAGATCAACTTTTATTTTGTGACCAATTTATACATACCCACCGTCTCTGACCAACACATGAATATCATGGCCAGTGGCGCACCCAGAGGCGGGGCTCTGGGTGCTTAATCCCCCGACTTTTTGTTTTACTTTCTTAAAATCGAAATTCAAGCCTGATTTCCCCCTCCCCACAACAAATCTCGGGTGTTCCACTGATTAAAGCCTCGGTCATGTATACTTCAAGACATTTTCAGTACCGGTAACAGAATTTGTCCTATGATACTGACTTTGCGTGAGAAGTACAAAAGAACAGAGCACGCAGTACATTAGCGTTTTTAACTAAACTATAGCCTGCGCACGACAAACCCTCCTCAACACGAGGAGAACGGACAGAAAGTATCAATGGATATTTAAAAAAAATAATAAACAAAAAACGAACTTACTTGGGTAGTACAGGTCCACTTGATTGCCAAAGCCAGCCAGGTTTTCGCCTCCTCCGGACTTTTTGCGGGCGTCAGCCGACGGATCATACTCCACCAGCACCCCGAACAGCACCAGGAACACCACCTGCAGCACGAGCAGGAGCAAAGTCAACTTCTCACGAGTCCAGGCCATTTGCCTGAAGAAGATTACTGTCGACAGCGGGGAATAAAATCAAAATGTGAGACTAATTTTTTTTTTGACTGACTGATATTAGCTCACGGTGGACTAAATTTCTGGTGGAAAGGACTGACGGCTGCACTTTTATCGCACCGTACAAGCACTCTACCCCCCTCTGGCCGTAAGCACTAATGGTCTGCCCCGCGGTCCTCGAAACCCGCGCTGTTTAAAAGTATAAACGTAAACCAGAAGCCCATGCGGTGGGGTAGCAGACACTCTGGTGGGGAACCAGAGTTGGGCTCTCCAGATCGGAGCAGTGACAAGGCATACCAGTACAGTGTCCTGTCTCTGGCTATCTTGTCTAAAATTCTAGAGAGCAAGTAGAAAGGAGGAAATGTACTGTGTCATATTCGCTCATGACAACGAGAAAGCATCAATCGCCCATGCATGGGGATCTGCTTTCCAGGAGACAAAGTGTTTCATTTTATGATTGGTGTGTGATGCAAAGAGATAAATATGAGGTTAGATTGTTTTCCGAACAATAGAAGCAAATATGTTCGGCTGCACGTTCTTTTCCTTAATGAGTGCTTAACTAGAAAGGGAATCTGCCAGAAAGTTACTAACGCCCACGACATGGGCTGCGGACAAATGAATATTCCTTTCGACACCACTCATATATAGATAATGTGATGTCATTCAAGGGGATTACAGATCGTCCCGTTTTAGAATGATGCCAAACTGTTGTGCTATTTTCCAACTTGATCAAGATGTGTACTACAAGGAGACTACTGCATAGACAGCACAATGCTTGGCACAGGCCTACTGCAGTCAATTCCAGTCTATTGATGTGGAAATCTTGCTGGGCAGTTGACCACTTACCCCGGGAAAATGAATGTTTTCATTTGTGTCGCAGATAGCTCCCCAGCTATCATTGAATCTTGAGAGTCGTGGCAGGTGAATCGAATTCAAAGCCAAGATACGAGCTGCTGGTTTGAGGATTTAGCCAAGATTTCTTCCTATTGATAACGAAACCCAATGACTCCTGTAAATTCACAACAAATGTGGTATGACTCAAACTTTGGTCAACTGAGGAAGCCATGATTAGGCTGTCGTCCAGGAAGACAACCAGACGAATTCCTTCACTTCCAACCACGGCTATAGAGCTGGTTTCATTATTTTGATAATATTTTGATAAAAATAACAGGAGTGGAACTTAGCCCAAAGGGTAGGTAAGTAAATGCATGGTATACATTTCCCCAAGTAAATGTCAGTAACCGTGATGTTAAGAAAACATCGTTATTGAAAAAAATAAGGATCTGTCAGATCAATTGATGTGACAAATCATTACCCTGCACGATATCTTTGACTAGTTTGACATTTTCTATTTTGAAGTTTTCGTACCGAACGTGTTCTCTCAAATTTAGATGAATACACTTTGCACAAACTTGCATCCAGAATGGTGGATGGGCTGGATGGGCCGAATGGCCCACTTAGTTAGGAAATCTTAAATTTCCTTGTGGATAATACTTTTTTCCTCATTGGAAAAGGATATTTTTGGAGGCCTTCAGACCTGAACAGGCTCCCTCAACGAAATCAATCTGATAACCAAAAAATTTCTGCAATATCCATCTGTCCGAAGTCTGAGACCATTTATTCTGGAAATATGTCAACCGTCCAGCATTCACTTAGAATTGACTTAAGTCGGGATCTCAGTGACGTCTTTGTTTCTGCTTTGGTTACGTGTCGAGACCGCGCGCCGTTACTTGCTTCGCGCCCTCTTGTGTCCACTGATTATTATGAGTTCAGTTCAGAAATCCCGACTTGACGAATCTGCCAACCGTTTGTACACAGCGAATGGGCTCATCTACCAAAAGTGGTAGCAGCCAATCACATTGCCGGACTTGTTTTTACGAAGTTCAATCTGCATTTTAATGAACGAGTATATACAAGTCTGACTACTTTGATTGGCTTATTCGTCAAGTCGGATTTACTGACTGGTGACTTCATGTCGAGTTCGGGCGCCGTGTTCTTGACACAGGTTTCTTGTTCTCGCGCTCGAACGGCGGGAACACGATTCAAGTACACTGTTCGCGGAACAGGATCACACACCACCTTCTCGTCAGGGTTTTACAGGAACACATGGAAAAACTCGTGAGATTTTGATTTTTGAACAGCTGTAAAAACTAGAGATATGGTTTACAAAGTTTGAGACAATAGGAAATTTTGCAAAATTAACATTAATTTTTTTTCACAACACAGAAGTGAATGTTCCTGTTCAAATAGAAAAAAATTCGGCTCAGTTGTCCAAGCATTAACTCTCGAATAGTTTACTACGATATGGACGCCGCCATGTTGCTTGTCGCAATCTACCAGCGATGATCCCGGCGTTCGAGCGGCCGACCCAAAAACGACAAATCAAGCTATTTGTGAACATGCGAGAACAAGCCGCCCGAAGTCGGCCACGTTGTACAATAAAGGCTATCAAATGAGGGCGCCTTATGAGGGTTATGCAAGCTGCCGGGCCGAGCGCGATGACCGTGTTGCGTACCACGCCGGCTGAAGGGATGGCTGACTGGAAAAGAGCAACGTATGTTCGATTTGATTCAAGTCTAGCATTCCCTGACCTATCAGAAAGCAAGATGAAGGTATCTATGGTGTGCTATTTACGAAACACATTTCTGCCCCTCTCTAGCCTCTTCCAAGGCAACGCAACGACACGACGCAACGGCATGATGACTCCCTTGCGTCGTGCTGTCGTGTCGTACCGTCGTCTTCTTGCCACTACGTTTGAACACACACGGCGCGTTGCGTCGTACTGTCTTACGTCCTCTCCTTGTTGCATTTTTTCTGCCTAAACGTCGCTCCTTCCGTCGCCGATGGCGTCGCACCATCGTGCGTCGCGTCGGATGTACAGGACCGTACAACTTAACGAAATAAGTGGATACTTAACTAATGAGTGAATGTCAATGTGATACCCAAACCGCAGTACAGAGGGATTTCACATGAGTGCTATCTGCGCATATGCACATCGAAACCGAGGCTCTCTGTGTTGAACTTCGTCGCGCGCGCCCGCGGAGTCCACACAGTACATGCAGTATCCGGTTCGTAAGTGTGATGCCACGTCTGTTTGAACCACGCCCACTGCACATGCAGATACGTTACACACGACCATCGAAGGTACGCTCGTTCGCAGTAAATTGCTGTTATTTTTTCGTTTGATTTAACGTGTAGAGTCATCTTGAAAGACTCTTCCACAAAAATTGGCAGCCTGAAAAGTCTGAGTGTAACATAATTTATGTATTTTGTGTCTTGACTCCTTACTTTCAGTCGTCTGATCGTATTTAGAATTGAAGCTGACACATACAGCCTCGTTTTCAAACGCGGAAGTGCGCAGATCGACGCTAAAAGCGTCGTATTGGGATCCCTCTATTGCGATTCATCTATCCCGTCAATAGGGAGAATTATTTTACTTCGACCTAACCCTGCTGGCATCGTTGATGTCAAACGGATACTTCCCAGGGACAGACGCCTCTAACCCTACATACGCTATACGAAAGCTGACTACCAGAAACGGTGACACTAAAATTATGAAGTCACGGTTAAACCTATATTAAAACTAAAATAATTAACCTACTGGATAAAAACCGATCAAAATCAAATATCTCAATAGTGCAACATTATCGTGCAAATGCCGCATTGAAAAGTCAAGTTTTAACTTACATTTGAAGCGGCAAGACTCTGTTTGCTCCGTATATGTGCGACAGCAAGGCGCTCCATAGCTTAAGAGCAGCCATTGCCAATTGCCCTATCAACAAGTGTGGGTGCAGAGGGCCGTTGTTTGCTGACATGAGATGATATCTAGACTCATCTTAATGACAAGATTCTGTAAATGTCTTATAAGAGCAAGCCCGTGAATGGCTTGGTATGTTAACAAAATTAATTTTCAAGTTAATCCTGTACAAACCAGGTAACCAGTGAAGGTAATGCAATATTGGTGTTATGAGTGGAAACATTGGTGTATTTGTAAGAAGTCTAGCTGCCGCGTTTTGGAGTCGTCATCTCATTATCTGTGCTGGCGGCAAACCATACCAAGGACTGTTACAATAGTCCAGACTGCTTGTTACAAAGGCGTGAATTAACACTGAAAAAGGGAAGAGAAATTTACTGATACGCTTAATACTGTGAACTTAGGTGGGAAAATGCTGCAGAACAAGCCTTAGTGATGTGGGTGTCCATTGTCATTTCTGAGTCGAACCATGCTCCTTCACCTTCTTGACGCATGTGGATAGAGGGATTACAGAGTCGCCCACCGTGACGTTGGAAATGTTTATTTTCTGCAACCGTTGCCTTGTTCCAATAAGTCATTGATCATTAGTCTATCGTGCAGCATCCAATTTCCGATGTCCTGGACACAACTGTCCATTGCATCTACTGTGTACAGCTCTTTGGCAGGATCACCGAGGTATAAAAGATAAATACAACTGTGTGTCGTCTGCATGAACGTCAGGCTAATGGTCTTCAATGATGTCAACCAAGGGTTTCTTCTGTTCCAAGTTATAGAGAACATACAAAGGATCAGAGAATCAGATCAGATGATGCGGAGTTGGAAGACTTTCCAAAACAGTTTCGGATTGACGGGTAAAAACAAAATCTAATATGTGGCCCGTTTCATGGGTATAGACTTGTTGACGTGTTGCTGAAGACCCGTAGATTCAAGAAGCACTAAAAACCGATTGGTGATTGGGTCATCAGGAATGTCAACATGAATATTGAAATCGCCTTTTATTACAACTGGTGCAGGAGTTAACACAATCGATTCCAAATAATTGGCAAACTCACTGACAAACTGGTTGACTGTAAAAGGATCGTTTCTAGAGTAGGCGTAAGGTGGTCTGTAGATAATCCCCAATCGTGGTTTGTTGGGATTAATCGCAACAAACCATTCGGAACAGTCCAATGTCCCAACTTCCCTTCCAGCGATTTTCTTAACAGGAAGATGTTCTCTGACACTAAAGCAGTTCCTCCCCAACTCGAGTCTTCCGAGGATGATTGAAAATTTAAAACCAGAAGGAATAACGTCAACCTTATGGGCAACGCCCAAGTCTGTAAGCCATGTCTTAGTGACAGTAAACAGATTGGCTTTGCTGTAAATAGCATATGCAACAAAATCAGCTGATTCGTTGTTGAGAGATCTAGCATTCACGATACAAGTTTTAGAGGATTTTTAGAGACCTCCACAGGTTGTACCGCAACTGGAGCGAAGATAGAGGCACAGGTTTCGCGATCGCGGTCATAAACGTAGATTAACTGAAGCTGTTATATTCGCTTCCGTGCAAGCGTGCGAGAAGACCCATTGCATGCCCAAATTCGATTTGGAGAACATTCGATAGATTTGTAATTTTGCACATGGGGTTATATTCGGGTATGTTGTCTTGATTAAGAGAATAGTAATATTTGTTGCTTTTTACATAAAAATAAATCACTAAGTGCCCTGATCTTGAAACAATAACATTTTATAGAAAAACGTTAATTAAATAGCAACCCCAACTGCTGTTTCGGTCCGATTTAGCACTCTTTTCTATGGGCGCGTATTTGGTGTAGTGAAACCTTTTAACACAGAATCAAACAAATGAGGGCGCTCTTGTGTCGCAGTCGGTTCTCACCTGACAATGAGAAAAGCCGCGGATTCAGTAAATGTTAAACCAGCTAATCACGGTAGGGAAAATAATGGTCATTTGAGGGACTTCAGACTTCAGTAGTTAAAAACAGGTGAATATAGTTAATGAACTGGTTATGTTAAAATATCAGCCATGGAGTTGGAAACAGAACTGAAAATGAATTGTGCCCAGTTTCCGGACGTATCGGTCCTCCTAGCATTCTACCTCGATGATCCTAGGTACCAAGGAGGTAGGACACGTGGTGGTAGGCCTATAGACCAAAAAATAATTGAGATGATATAGGAAAATTTATGTTCGTACTAATGGAGAGCAAACTGATTTTTTTGTACACAAAAATGACTGGAATTTGACTTAAAAGTTGAAAATCCATATTTTCATAAAATCGTGGAGCCTTATTTCAATGAATAAGGCTTCAGCCTAAAGTTTAGGCCTATGGTGGCTTCACTTGAAATAAATTAAAAAAAATTGAAATTGGAAATAATCTCCAAGTGGAGGATGCTGGAGCATGCGGGGAAAAAAAGTTTGAACACAATTTCCTATTTAAGAAAATGAGTTCCCAAATGACAAGCGCCCTTAGGCCCTACTCATCATGTGTAGGTTACCCCCATAACTGTTGGGTTCGACGTCCGCCATGCTTCAACTAACTGTGGGGTCCGATGTCTGCCCTGTTCCCACTGTGATTGACCCCAATTTGCCTCCATTCCAATGACTAATCATAGGCCTACACATGTAGCTTGGCTTTCATTTTAATGGGGTCAGGAAAACAAGGGAAAAAAAATAGGAGCTGCATTGTGATTGGTTGAGCTGTCATGCAGCTGACAGTGACTGAGCGTACCAATAGACCTAGGCCTACATGCTGCTGATTTTCTGTAGTATCAATGGGCAAAATGCTCAAGAATTTCACCATTTTAATGAGGATGTTGTCACAGTAACTCAATAAACTGTTTCAATTTTAAATATTTTTGTGACAGCATAAAATAGGTGTCCTAAGATCGAAAAGAAACTTTGTCAACAGCATGGTGTTAATTCCGTGTACATATTTCATCTTGTGAAGTGTCTTCCCAGATCACATCACAAATATGACACGCTGGTGAAATCTCAGTTTGTTTGATAAATACTGTATTAATTTTGAGTGTAAGGGAAATCAGACCAGTATTGTGAATTCTTGTACTGAATTTGCAACAAGTGAGAGCCTGAATATGATTTGTTTCAGCTGACACCCAGTGAAACCCAAAAATGGAGCCAGAAATGGTCAACCCGTTTGCCCTCTTGCAGTCTGCCAAGGCAGAGAACCCAGAGGTCGAGAGGGGTCAAAGTGCAGAGGTCACTCCCAAGGCAGATGGAGCTGATGATCAGAGTGAGGGCATTGGGGATGCAGGGTCAGAGGTCAAAGGTGAAACAGGGACACGGGAGGCAGAGAAGGTGCAGGCCATTGATCGGATGATTCAGACGGTATTTCTGGTGACCATAGATCACGGTAAATAAGAAGCACCAAACAAATCCTGTCAATTTAATTCAACTGTCTTCGTTTTTTTCAGTTGTTGGTTTACAGTGTATCTCCATCCGGTATTTCTTAATAGACTGAATTGCAACATTTACATGTAACCACGATTGCTTGCTGTGATATGGGATATGGCATTTCCAAGAGCCAAGACTTTATGTGATGTATATTGTTTTGGGACTGTATTAACCAGTTTTTGGTTAGCATGACAATCAGGTAGAGTTTGAGCTGGTGACCTTTATTTCTTGTAAGCAATTTTTGTTTCACACTTAAGAAAATTTTGTACTTAAGCAGCTCTATGAAATTGGCCCCAGGCTGAGCTCCACCATAACTAATCCTGGGTGTGCCACTGCTGGTGGTGGGTGTCCTAGTTTACTTGCGCCTGTAAAGTTGCAACATTTACAAATCAACAACAAATTTACAGCTCTATGAAATTGGCCCCAGGCTGAGCTCCACCATAACTAATCCTGGGTGTGCCACTGATGCTGGTGGTGGGTGTCCTAGTTTACTTGCGCCTGTAAAGTTCATTCGAACGTGCTGCTTGAGGCATGCTTCATGTCATGTATCCCGTTTCTTTTCAGAGGGCGAGACAAATCAGCGGGGTATGCCTCCCCGCTGCGTGTACCTTGTGGAAACAGCCGATGCTGTCAAGGAGGAAAGCGAAGGGGCCTGGCACTGGCTGGGATGGGACGTCATTGATCGAGTAAGTCCTTAGCATAGAGCTTCAATGAATTTCTGGAACGATATCTTGCAGTGCAAATTGGAGCCTGCCAGGCACATCCACGTTTGTTGGAAAAACCTTACATTTGAAAATTTGGAAATGCTATTCAGCTTTTGTAACGGCTATTGGCCCACCTGCATCAGTATTCCATAACAACTCATCATCAAACATTCAAAGCTGATACAGCACCACCCAAAATGCACAGTCAGCACATGACCCCTCGGTTGTGCTCTGTGTTACACACAAGGTACATGTAAACTGCAGGTGCACATGCGCTCCAGATGAATTCCACAGAGGCTTTTTAAAGCCCTAACTCCCTAGGCCCTTTTTGCTTGGGACCTTCCTCAATCCTCCAGAATCCTCCAATTTGGGGGTGAAAAAAAATTGGATTCTCCCTCAATCCTCTGAGAATCCTCCAAATTTTCTTGAAAATGTTGCTTGGAGGTGTGCCTACTGCCTCAATCCTTCAAAATCGCCCGCTAATTCCTGTCGTTATGTTGAGGCAGTGCGAATGGCATTGGAGAGCAATGCGGTTGATTCTAAAGAAATAATGGATTGAATTTATGCATGACTGAGCAAGAACAACACAAGGTCTAACCCACAACCTTCACTCATGGCATACTTCGCAATCAACCGTGCACTTTTGCCATTCACCCTCAATCCTCCAAAATCCTCAAAAACCGCCCGAAGGATTTTGGAGGATTGAGGAGGGTTTGGGCTGAATTAGAGTACACAATTTGGAATTTGTTCCATCCTATTTCATGATGTTCTACAAACATGGACACCAATTCCAAATGTTCATGCATAGGATGGCGTCAGAGTTGTCTACTTGTGGCACAGACTGGAAACACAATACGGGCAATTTACAACAGTGTGTCACCAAGAGTTTGTAACACGTTGGCCAATCATAACGCGCGAAATTTGTTGACCCGTTCCAAATGCGCATTGGGTCGACAAATTTCGCGTAAAACGGCCGCATTGATTTGAAGTGGGGTTTTTGCATGTATTATACAACGCCTGAATAAATCGTTTTCCATTAAATGGCCGTTATGGATTAGATGGCATTGAAATCTTTATCCTAATGCACCGGATGGCCACACAGCAAAAATAGATATGTCTGAACCCATAGGACATTGGAGTACACTGTATGGTAAATGGAAGTTCCCTTGCATGACCATGTTGTTGGTGATGCAATAGCAACAGTTCTTCACACGAATTACGAACATGTGATTCAGAAGTTTGTGTGGGTAGGGATTTGCCTGTTCATGCAATGAACACATAGTCTTATTCAGTCACAGATAGAATGTTCCATTTCCATCTTTTCAGTGGAAAATTCCATCTTTCATGCTGATGCCTTCAAATTATTATCTATCAAATTAATCTTCCCATTTCACTCAATTACATGTATCTATAGTTTATATCATGCAGATGGTACAAACTGAGTAAACTTAGGTTTATTTTATAGAAAAAAAAAAATAGAAAAGCTGAACTTAGGTCTTCTGTTTGTCCGTCTGTAGGCCGTCTTTGAGAGGTTGCTCCTGGAAGACCCTGCCTTCCATGTCATCAACATGAACTCCTCTTCAGTGAGCTGCAGCATCGAGGAGCAGGAGGCGGGAGAGAAGGAGGTGATGCGGTACCTGCTGGCCTGCTACAGGAGGAGCGTGGAGCAGTCCAAGGCTAACAAGGTGAGCCGGCCACACTCGGGGTTCCCATGGTCATGGACAATCCTGCAAAAATCCTGGGAACCAAAGCTGTCGTGGAAAGTCTCGGAAGAGTCATGGAAAATGGATGTCCTGAAAATCTTGATTGCAGAGGAAAAGTAGTTGGGAAAAAGTCAGGGAAATCAAGATCGTGATTTTTGATCGGGCACTTTTGATGTAGCGGCTATGGCAGTCCTCCAGTTCACGCACCTGTAATAACAAGCAACCTATCTCTCTAAAGTGGCAATAAATGTCATGGGATGTGGTTTTTCACATGTTTTGTTTGAACTCTGCACGTGGCCTCCTTGTCACTTTTTGTGCTGTAGTCATCTTCTTCAAGTATCAACTGTCGCTTCACAAAAGGTGTTTTAGTCGAGATCATCACAAGACTTATTCGCAAGACCAGTCTCCAGACTGGTCACAAGACCAGTGACTGGACAAGTCACAAGATTGGTCACAAGACATTTCACAAGACCAGTCATAAGACCAGTCACTACACCCGTCACAAGATCAGAAACCATTCACAAGACCACTCACAAGACCAGTCATAAGACCAGTCACAAGACCAGTCAAAAGACCATTCATAAGACTATTACAAGACCATTCACAAGACCATTCACGAGACCATCCACAAGACCAGACACGAGACCAGTCACGAGACCAGTCACAAGACCAGTCACAAGACCAGTCACAAGACCAGTCACAAGTACATTAACAGCGTGAATAATGGCAGTAGGCTTCTTTTTTCAGTTCATTTGAACAGCTCGTAACCCAAAAATTAGACTGGAGGTCTTGTGATGGTCTCATGATGGTCTCAAGAGGTCTGGAATATAACGCTCTTTAGAGTTTTCCACAAGTGGAGGTGTGTGGCCAAGTGGTTAGGGTTTGTGACTTGGGTTTGAGTCCAGCTGCTGGTTACATGCTGTTTCCTTGAGCCGGTCACTTATCTGCCACTGGCCCCTCTCCACCAAAGGCACAGAGGTTCCATGAGGGTACAGATGGTTGCTGTGTTTGATCAGTTGTCTGCATGTGGAATTGCAGCATGGAGCTCTGTACCATCTCTCAGGGAGCTGAGAGGATTTTATGAATGTTTTTGGACCCAGCGGGATTATAATGATGTCAAGGCTGCCGTACTGATTGTTCTTGGAGTTAATGTGAAGTAGTCAGTGACAGCACAAGCAAAATTTTTTCCTGTAGTTGTTAAAAGATGCCCTCTTTTTGCAAGGCTGGTCTTTATCACCGAGCTGGCCTCAAGTGAAGCACGTAACTTCCACTGTATGGTTCAGTCTGCACGAGGCTGAAGGATGCTCAGTTATAATGGTCGGCTGATAGGTCAAAGGTTATGGGGAAAAGGTTCGCTGTAACTCTGCTACGTTCTGTCCGCAAGGCAATAGGTTTTGAGAGAGAGAGTGTCACCAAAACTGTCAGGATGCAAATAAATGAGAATGGTATCTTTTTTTTTTTACCATATGACTTGACCTTTGACCTCAGGATGACCTCCATGAATATGCAGAGTGCTGTCGGCGAGTGGTTGTGTCAAATGCGGTGACCAGTTTGCTGACACCAGAGCTATTCAGCAATCAAGACCTTCACGCACAGACGATGACCTTGCTGCTGCAGATGTTTGCAAGTGGAGGTAATTGGTTTAAACCTCCTTGCTGTTGTTGACCTCGTGTGGTGGGACGTGGGGCCTTTTAAAGACTTTGCAACCACACAAGATTGACTCTAACCCTCTGAAGATGCTTCAAAATCCATCAAGAGGTTTGGGGTGATTTTTGGAAGGTAAATAAAAGTGGTGTTGGGCTATCAATAGGCAGACCAGGGGAGGGACAGTGAAGGGCCATGACCCCTCTCCCAAGGAGGAAAAAAAAACAGAGAAATCTTTAAGATAACTTACTTAGTCTGTTATATTTCCTTACTTCCTGAAGCGTATCAAAAGCCCCAATAACGATGTACATGTATGGCCTCACCACTCGGAAACTCCATGAAAGGTCAAACCAATAAAGTGTCCAGTTTTTTTTCTTTCAAAATTTTTGGTCCACCTTTCTCAAAATTTGGCACCGGCTCCGCCCTTACCAGCCTCAATTTAACTCGACATGGTGCTTCATGCCTCCTGAAAAGTTTAAGTACATAGAGTTAGAAGTTACCGATACCATAGAATTCTGGCAGAGTGATAACAGAGAAGGGTAGAAAACAATAAGACAGATAATAAAGTTAGTATCCGCTCCGAGCGGAACAAAAGAGGGCGTGTTTAAAATGAAATTGACCGTCCTTTTGGCACCAACTCACCACGTAGGCGCGTAAGTTTATGCGTATTTGACATGCAACGAATTTATTCCGGAACACACGGTCTTTGCGTACATGCAGAACACGTGCAAGAACCTGTCTGTCTTTCTTTCGCCGATTCGTGGGGCACTTCCAACAATTAGGTCAGCGCAATTAAAGAGAGTGTTGCCTTTGTGTTTTGGGGGGACTTGCCAGTTTTGCAAGATTGAAATGTCAAAAATTTGGGGGGGTCCCAAAATATAAAATCTCCGATAACAGGGCATGAAAGGGCCCACATCATTACAATTTTTATACATTGCACATTCGACCAGTACTTACATAGGAGCCTGTTTGTTTCACACGGATCTGGGTCATGATCAGTGATCTGAAAGCTGGGCTGTGTTTTCCATTGGACAGGTTCTGGTTTCAGCGAACCAGTATGGGATCGCTGATAGCAATCTGGATCCACGTGAAACAAACAGGCCCCATGTAAGGTCAATCAAACTGGCAGAGCCTTCTTGAAAACGTTAAGCAGCCTCCTTTCTCAACTTTTGTACCGGTACGTCACTCTCTGCTCTTGTATTTCAACTCTTCAGAGATTGACCACGCTTTCAGCTTCTTGCTTGAAGTGGCCGACGCCATCTTGCTGGACGAGGACCTGCAGCTGGCCGACGCCTTTGGTCCGTTGCTAGACCACCTGTACAAAGAGATGAGGGGAATCCCATCGTTTTCCGATGCCAGGAACATGGTTTTCTGTGCTGTCCTGGAGCTCTTCACACGACGCCCAAGTTTAGCAAAGGTGAGATTGTCAAGATGTCTTTTTCATTTATGCGTGGAAAAGATTTTGGATAAAAAAACCTGACATAACAATAGGATGGATTGTATTAAATTAGAGCAAAAGCAGTTTGTTGACCTTGTCTGCTCTGAGCACAAGCACCCTCTCATTGGCTGAAAAGTGCTATGTGGGAGTGTTCATGTTGTTGGTAGTGATACGACTGCATCACTTGTGTTTCCTAGTCATTCGTGAACCAAGCAATGTGCAGTTACTACCAAGAGAGCCGTTGTTGCTTGGAAAATGGCGCCCTCTCTTGGTCCAGATTGTAGGGCTTGTTATTCAGCTGCTGTCAAGTTTCCCTAATCAAGCACCTTTAAATAAGCTTTTAAAATGCAGTTTTGTTGAAAGGAAAATTGATAAATTTTGATAAATTTATGTATACATGTTACTTTTGGATACTCAATTTAAAAAATGCTTAATACCTGATGTTCTATTGAATATTCAAATAATTGTAGAGTTTAAAATATTCCTTTTTTTCTGTTAGAATTTGTGGTTGCATCCTGTTAGCCTAAAGATAAATGTCTAAATCCCAAGTTCAAATTGAAAATCCATTTTTTTTTTGGTATTGTAGATTCTGATGGATCATGTCTCGCCTAAGGACCCCAAAAAGGCCAAGAGTTACGAGGAGACAGTGCTAGGGGTGCCACTGTCTCTGTCCTGTATCCCCAAACATCAGCGGGTGGCCGAGTTCTTCACCACGCCCTCCAGGGGAACCCAGCGGGAGCACAATGCAACCCAGGAATTCTTGTGGCAGGTGGGTACCTGGGGGGGGGTCTGTCAGTGTCTTCCAACCTGTGGAAGTAGTCTGGTTGCCCATGAAGTGTTGCCTGTCTCCCACTTGTAGCTACCTTTACAATTTGGTCACCAGGTTTCAAATATTTTGTGCTGCACGTATATTATCAACACAGCCAGTCTTCCTCATGAGGGATTTAGCAGGGCGAGCTGCTCTGCTAAAATTTTATGCACTGAAATGTCTCCCTAGAAGCCAATGTCTCCCTAATCCTGAAAAATGTACCACAAAATGTCTCCCAAATGACCTATTTGTAAATATTACAATGTTCCTACAACATATTAGGGAATTTTGTTTCTCAGAAAATAACTCATTGGAAAATATGGCTCCTAAAAAAATTTGACTTTTGTTGACCAAACCCCCTTCTTAAAAAATGTTGCATTCATTTGAAGTTGCCAACACGAGCAAATTTAATTCAAAGAGTCAGGAGGAAGTGGCCAGGATATGCCTCTGATTGCACCACAGAGCATCTAGAATCCAGTCATGGCAGATGGGTGTCTACATGAGATGCAAACGGGTTTCCAGTGTGTTACACTTTGGCAGATGTGGTGTTTGCAATATGTTACAAATAAACATGTACGTTGAATTCAAATTAACGCTTATTAGCCAGACTAAAAATTACTGGAAGTCGTTTTCCCTTGGCATTTCTAAAAACTAAATTAATACAGCCAAACCATTAAAAGACAAATCTTGATACAATATACCGGTACATGTACATAACATCTCTAGAACTCAGAATACATGTAAGTCACTATCCAATATAGGACAAACTGGACATTAAACAAGGAACTCTTAGAAACAGGGAATTGATGTTGAGTGCTTGCCCATTTCCTTTCATGAGTCACTTCGGACAGTGGAATATACATGTAGTAATTAATTACAGTTCATATTGGATAATCTTGAGAGAAATGCTGAAAATTGCATATTTGTGAATTATGATATCAAGTTATTGACATACATGTAAGTGGTATTTCATCAAACATTGTTCAAGTGTTGAAGTATTAGCTAGTGTGCCTTGACAATGTCATATGAAGCAGTAACCTCATCAGATGTTGTCCAAACGTTGCAGTAATAAGTTGTGTGTTGACAATGTCATATGAAACAGTCATGTTGAAGTATTAGTTAGTGTGCCATGGCAATGTCGTATAAAGCAGTAACCTCATCAAATGTTGTTCAAACATTGCATTATACCTTGACAGCGTCATATGAAACAGTCATGTCGCAGTATTAGCTATTGTGCCATGGCAATGTCATGTAAAGCAGTAACCTCATCAAATGGTGTTCAAACATTGCATTATACCTTGACAGCGTCATATGAAACAGCCATGTTGCAGTATTAGCTAGTGTGCCATGGGAATGTCATATAAAGCACTATTAACCTCATCAAATGTTCAAACATTGCATCAAGTGATAGTGTCATATGAAACAGTCATGTTGCAGTATTAGCTATTGTGCCATGGCAATGTCATATAAAGCAGTAACCTCATCAAATGTTGTTCAAATGTTGCCTTATGCCTTGACAGTGTCATATGAAACAGTCATGTCTTGATTGGCTGTGCAAAAACCTGACTATAGACATAAACTAGAAGTTCTAAAACATGTTTGTGCCGATTGGATTTTAAATTCATAGTTGCCAAATTGAGATATTCGGAATTCAATTTGGACAAAAATTGCTGTATCAGTAGGGAGAGGTCTTTTTGCCCGTATGTGGTAATACTCTAGACTGAAATTTCATTTATGTTAACCTCTTACATGTATGTTAACCTCTTATGTTAACCTCTTATGTTGACCTCTTAATGTTGACCTCTTATGTTGACCTCTTATGTTGACCTCTTATGTTGACCTCTTATGTTGACCTCTTATGTTGACCTCTTATGTTAACCTCTTATGTTAACCTCTCAGCCTATATCCCTCCTGAATGAGAGGATGTATGAGATATTCAAAGGAATCTTCAAGTCTTCCGCGGCGAACAAAAACAGGCTGCTAGCGTGGCTAGGAAACTGTCTACATGCCAATACAGGTATGGATGCCTTATGAATATGCATGATGTAGATAGGGCAGTGCTACTGGCCAGATGCCCAGATGATGCGTCTTCATTGCAAGGTTATGCATGATGATGATGTACTTGTAGTCCGTCGTCGGTATTGGTCAGATCATGCTTGTGTTGTGTCAAGGAAATAAACTATTGAAAATAATTGTCTTTCGCTTCTTTTGCGGTTTTGAGACAATAACTTTTTCTGCACATTTATTTTTGTCCAAATGTACATGCATGAATTGAGATAAAATGTCTTAGAAGTAGTTGATTACCAGAACGGTTATATTGATGTGTGCTAAGCACCCCAGTAGCAACAAGAAACCTAATTACTGTGGCTTTGAAGGATGCAATGTGTCTTCAATCCCTTTGACCTTCCCACCGCGCATTGTGCAGGACGGGCTAAACTCTGGTCCAGGGAGCTGCCCAACTTTGGCCAGGTCTTCGCCAGCGACGCCTTCTTTGTGAACCTGGGAGCTGTCATGGTGCGATTCTGCACCCCGTTCACTGCGCCAGACTCCAGCAAGATCCTGGGTGTGGACCTGAGCTACAGTCGGCTGGAGCTGAGCAGCAACGCGGGAGAGGAGGAGATGAACGCCAAGGGGGTGCATCTACGAGGTAACAGTTGTTGGAAATGACCCCTTAAATGACCTTAGAGTGACCTTTGTCTTGATCTGAAGGAGTATAAACTGAGATACATGTTCACTTCTCAGTGTTTTAGTTGCACACCTGTTTTGTAGCGGAGCCCATCACAAGACCAGTCACAAGTGACAGAGGAATGTTTTTGTACTGTTCCTTTGAAGAGCTTGTAATGTGGACTGAGACAGGAGGTCATGTGTTGGTCTTGTGGTACGTTAGTTTGTGCGGTCTTGTGATGGGGTCTTGTGGTAGCTTGTGTGGTCTTGTGATGGGTTGTTGTGGTAGTTTGTGTGGTCTTGTGATGGGGTCTTGTGGTAGTTTGTGTGGTCTTGTGATGGGTTGTTGTGATGGTCTTGTGGGGTCTTGTGATGGGGTTTTGTAATGGTCTTGTGCTAGTTTGTGTGGTCTTGTGATGGGGTTTTGTAATGGTCTTGTGGGGTCTTGTGATGGGGTTTGTAATGGTCTTGTGGGGTCTTGTGATGGAGTTTTGTAATGGTCTTGTGGTAGTTTGTGCGGTCTTGTGATGGGGTCTTGTGATGGTCTTGTGGGGTCTTGTGATGGAGTTTTGTAATGGTCTTGTGGTAGTTTGTGTGGTCTTGTGATGGGGTGTTGTGATGGTCGATCTTGTTGGGTCTTGTGGTAGTTTGCGGGGTCTTGTGATGAGCTCTTGTGATGGGGTCTTGCGATGGTCTGAAGAGGTCTTGACTACAGCACTGTTACAAGCACTTTTGCTAAGAGTCGGGTGAACATTAAAGGAATGTCTTTGGTCCTAGCTATTTCGTAAAAGCTTGCGGCAGAAACAGGAGGACCTGTGAAGACTTGTCACGAGTGTTCAGTTTGCGGCCGCTGTTCAAGCATGCATTTGGGGACAGTAAGGGAGTAAGAACGTGATGAGAATGACATCTGAATTATAATTGCTCGTCAGTCTGCTGCTAATAGCACTTGCAGTACGGTGGTATGCCACCAACCCTTGTTAAACCAATAATGAAGTCTTATCGTCAGTCTTATTTTCTGCACTAGGGTTTGAAAGCCGCGAAAATCACTTGAAATTTTAAAACAAAATCCCAAGCCATGCAAAAGCACTTCACTTTAAGCCAACACTGTAAAAGGTTCTGAGAGTGCTTTCAAATTTTAAAAACATCCAGTTCTTGGAATGTCTACGTTTTCATCATTGTAATCAGTCAGAAATGTACATTTTAAGTTCAGTTTCTGATTATTTTATCCTTCAATCTGAGAATTTCTACCTTGAAGAGTTTTGTAAATGTACCTGAATTTATCTAGCCATAGTGTGCGCTATAAAGCCTGTGTCGGCGGCATTAATGTGGTGCCCTTGGCGTCTTAACCCTCAAAGAGCCGGGTTATTTGGGCCCATCTCACAGCCGAATGGGGGTGGGTCTTTCCTGCCCCCTCCTCCCCAAGAACTCGGTAGTGCCTCGCTCAATTTATTTGAAACTTGACATGCACTTAAAGACACTCGTTATTAATATACATGTGAGATTTGAACTGAATCAGACATTTGGTTTTGTTTTTATGGTCATTGGAAGTTCAAGGCTGTACGCGTGTCAGACCATGTGCATTGAGCACCGCAGTGGAAAAAGTGTATATTTTTAGCTGACTTGTCTCAGAAAACTGCAAGCTGCGCAAGACCGGAATGTTTGAGATTCATTAAATTGGTGTCAGAATGACTGCCAAGAGTTACTCTAAAAACTCCTAAAGGCTCAAGTCCTGAAAAAAAATGGAACTGCGGCGATATCAGAAAAAATGCCAGGGGGAGGGGCAGAATCTGCCCGTGGCTCTTTTCAGTGTTAATTTACAAAAAAAGCTATTGCTAAGCAGTGACATGGCTCCAAGTTGTTTATTCAGAGTAATCCACCAATATAACAGTTATGCTCAAGCAAATGTTGTCAAACCACAGTGAAAAACACCATTTATGGTCAATTTACTGTGAGGTGCAACCTATAAATGACAGGCTTGTATTCGAGTCATGAAACATTGAGTGTGAGTCACATTTCTTGAGTCCAAATCTGAGTTCCGAGTCCTCCAGGTCAAGTCCAAGTTACAAGTCACAAATGTTGAGTCCAAGTCTGAGTCACAAGTCATCTTTTACATTAACGAATTAGCCTAGGCCTAGTAAAACTATGACATGGGAAAACAAACTTGTTAGGATGCGCACGCGAAAGGTGGCGATTAAAGTTTGATGTGGTGCCGGTTTTCTCTTCAGTTCTTCTTTGACAGAACTTGAATTCTGCACTAGACTTTCCATTCGTGTTTCTCTCAAAGTTCAGATACCCAAACTTAACAATTTTGGAGGTGGATGCCATCATGATGATCGACGCATTGCATGTACATTTAAAACTGGAAGTACCGCACGAAACGGGCAGATGAGCAGACTATTCATATCACGTTAATGTGATGCGACAGCATACCTGTGTGAATAACAGGACGTCTGACAAGGAAAGTCTGGTACCTTACCCTAGTAATCTTGCACCAATTCAGTATTACGTGTGGACAGCGGGGTACAAGTTTTGGTTTATTGATATCTTTAACCAATATATTGATAACCGGCCACGTACGCACCGCATTGAGTGCCCTATACTGCACAGTAAAGAAAACGACTTACATATGTGCATGTGTGCAGTGCGGTAATTTCTGTCGATACACAAGTCAATGGGGGGTCGAGTCTAAGTCCGAGTCCGTAACCCTGAGTCCGAGTCGTAAGTCAAAATGACTTGAGCCCGAGTCATTAAAAATGTGACTCGAGTCGGACTCGAGTCCGAGTCACAAGTCATACAAGTCTGATAAATGATGTTCCTTTTGCACTTTAACCTTAAGCCCTCTTTTTCTTTAAATGTTTGTTTAATTTTCGAAATTTATATGACACAAACACATTCTGATCTCTAAAATTGAAACCTGAGGCAAATAACCAAAGTCTTGTTGCATCTGTCTGCCAGGGCTCCCTAAGGAGACGTGCCTCATTAAGTTAGCTGATGATGATGGAGGCACGCTTAGCGCTGCCCCCTCGCTACCCGCCCGCCCTCCATACAAGTTCACCACGGAGATCTTCTTCCTGACTCAGCGTTGTCTACACCTGGGCTACCACAGCGTGCTGGAGCGCTTCAACCGGCTCAACCGGGATCTACACCGTATCCAGGAGGCCTATCAGGAGATGCAGGGACTGGGCACCAGGGGTGGGAGGACCAACCCCGCCGTGGAGAGGCTCCGAGAACAGATGGATATCGGTGAGTTGCAGTGAGGGGGACGGGTCAGGTTGAGGTGGTGGTTAACTTTTCATGGTTCTCTTCAGCCTGAGGATCTAATCTCACCTAGGTCAACATACAGATTTCTTTTTCCCCTCCTGAATCCCTGGAATATTTACTGGGGTTTTCCTTCCACCCCTGAAACTGAACATTGGCGCTATTGTACATTGCTGGATGTATACTATAGTTGTGCTAGATGAATAGAAATGAAGAGATATGGGTATAAACCCTGTGTACCCAGTTATTTCCTCCTTTACAATGTTCCTTCCCACAAGTCCGTTTTTAGCCCATCAGACAGCCATAGTAATGTCCCCCCTTGTAATATCTTTCCTCTACACCAGCCATGGCCCTGTTCCTGTCTTTAAGAACTGCCCTCCTAGAGCCTCAGCTGGTCCAGCACAGCTGGAACCTCCACCTAGCTACGGCCCGTCTCCTCATCCAGTTAGCTACCACCGAAGACCGAACCACTCTCCGGATGCCTTCCTACCCCTTGCCCCCTGGGGATGAAGGGGCTGCGTCCGTACCCCACTGCCTGGCTGACGTGCCCGAGTTCCTGGCCGAGAACCTGATCAACTTCCTGCAGTTCCTGCGCCGCTTTGCCGAGCAGAAGTTTGAGGATGGGGCGGAGTCCCTGGGCCACCTGATGGCCTTCATCGTGACCTTCATGGGGAGTAAAGGTCGGATGAACAACCCCCACCTCCGGGCGAAGCTTGCGGAGGTGATGGAGGGCCTAATCCCTCCTAAGGACCAGGCAAAGGCCATTGTGACAACGTAAGTAAAGAATCTAGGTCAAATCTTTGTTTTGTGAAATTCATCTGTCAGTTCTTCTTAACTCATCAACATTTTGAGAGTTATGAGAGAATTTCCAAAATTTTCCTGCAGTGTTGGATATTGAAAGATGGACAAAAAAAGTTGGTCATAATTAGCTAATTTGCATTTTGCCCTTGACAGGGTCTTTCCTGCTTTCAGCGCAGAAAAGTGAAATGCAAGTTTAAATATTTGGAAACTCGCGAAACTTAGTTTGACATAGCTTCATTCAGTGTTGCCGTCAAGAGTGAAGACCTCTAAAGACAGTCACAACATCCTACAGGGCCATTTGAAGACCTTCAGAAGGCCTCCGGTCCGAATTCAAGTCCAAAACTATTCAAATGCTCTGCAGCAAAATCATTTATTGTTCCACCACAACTCTAGTTTCGTCTTGGGTACCGTCGCCATATCCCATGTGGGATAATGACATTTTAATGTCCCAAGGGGCTCATAGCATCCAAGGCGAAGCTGTGTGCCCTAAAGGATGTCTTCATGTATGTCTTCAAGCTCAGTTGACATGCTGAGAAACTGTACAACGAAACGACCTAAACAAACTTCGGCAATTGACAAAAGTTGCGAAAATGACAGCACTGCAACATCGGATCATCTTGTGCAGTGTGCTATTCCTATAGGAGTTTACTAGTAGCACCTGTAGATGTTAACAGTAGCACAGGTACCAACAAATTGCATTTACCGGTAGTCTGGTTGGTGGTTCTTGCATTATTGCCTGTGAATTACAGCTGCGTGTTGACATCCTCGTGTGGAAAGAGGGAAATTGAGTAAATTGACTTGCTGAAGGTTATAGCATGTAATCAGTGGCTGGACTGGGAGCCACAAGCCTGAAAAAGGGCGGATCCGGGAGGGGCCCATGTTGGTCATGGACTTCTCCTTAAAGAACACAATTTTTGGTTTTTGAAATACATGAGGAAGGAGATTTCATTTCCCTTCCATCCAAAAGCGCATAATAAACCCTAAATTTTGCCTCGCCCGTCAGAAAGGCCATCAAAGGTTACATGACAAATTCCCCAAAGTTTGTGGCTCCCCTGAAGCAATTTGGCCCCCTGAAATTTGGGCTATGGATCCACCTTTGAACCCTAACCTTATTGCCGCACACCCAAAATACATTTCAGAACCCACCGTTTTCCATTTATACACGAAACACCCTAATCCCAACTCCTCCCCTTCAAAAAAAAAGTTCAACTCTTAAGAATCTGTCCTTCCCTTGTCGATTGCTCTTCCCAGGTTCAATCGGGAGAAAGTGTTCCAGGAACATCCCCTCCTTCCACTTGTCTCGCGGTCGCTGCTCAGCATCTATGTGGACATTGAGTTCTCGGGAGATGCCCATGCCTTTGAACAGAAGTTCAACTACCGACGGCCCATGTATCACATCCTCAAATACCTCTGGAGCTTACAGCAACACAGACAGAGCATGAAGGTATAAATTCACCCCCTCCCCTGCCCATCTTCTCTCACCTTGACCTTCAACCCCCCTCCATTAATAGGACACTTGATTGGTCTTCTAGAATGGAGTTCAGTTTTTCCCTGCTTGAAACCAAAAAGCATGACACAATGTCACATTTCCTATTTACAATGAACAGTTTTTGGTGAATTAAATATACATCGTTTTTTTTTCTTTCCCTTTTGACAACATGCTTCTTTTCCTTAATCTTCCAACATCATGGCCCAAAGATTTGCAGAAGATGGAATAAGGAAAGATCTGTAGATTGAACTTTCCGAGACATTTGTGGCTGCGGTTAGGACTTGTTCTTTTATCCACAAATATTCTCCTTTTCCAGCTGTAATGCACAGCTTGCCTGCTATGTACGAAGATTCCGTATAACAATAGGCCACTTGCAAGTTAAATTTGAATAAAATCTGGTACACTGAGATCTTTAAACTCACGTGAACATAACAACTTGAATTCTCCATATTAAAACCACTGTTGCTATACCTCGTGATTCAGGGCAAGCTTTTGCAGAGCGACTGCCATCTCTGGAATGGACTGGTTCCTTTGTGCCGTTCTAATCCATTGAAAACAGTGTATTGTTGCAAGGCGTCTCTTATGTAACTATGCAAAAGCTTGCCCGAAATCACGAGGTATAGCAAAAGTGCTTTTAGTGAGGAGAATTGAAGTTGTTCTGTTCGCATGAATTTAACTCGCAAATGGCTTATTGTGGATGACTCTGCAGGAGCAAGAAAACTGGGAAATGTTTAGTCAATCTGCATTTAAGGAGAAATAAATATTAACCCTAACCCTCCTCAATCCTCCAAAATCCTTCGGGCAATGGTAGTATTCTGCATAATTTGATTCCATAAACCGTAATTTACAAGGCTAAGGCTGCATCCGAATCTCTTGTCTAGAGCTAGGTCTTGGTCTTCACTCAATTGGAAATGCGTGGAGACGCGCAGACGATAGACCTAGCCGTAGCTCTGGAAGCCCGTTTCGGACACGGCTAAGTAATATGTCGCTGCATGCTCTCTCCCTTTTTTTAAATCAAGGAGATAGCTAAGGAAGCCTTGCAGTCAATGGAGGCAGCCAACGCACCCCTGTTTCTTCGTTTCATCAATCTCCTCATCAATGATGCCATCTTCATGCTGGACGAGGCAATGGATGTAAGTACCGATTGGGTGCTTTTCAGAGCTGTTCATAGAGAGAGCTGTGACATGAATGTCCCAATGGTTGGAACCAAAATGGTGGATTATGCATCAGTACACATGGACAGTTAGCACACAATAGCTGCATGCTGTACTTCACACAGAATGAGCTGCCATTTTGGTTCCAAAGTCTGAAGCTGGGGCTACTCTATCTAGGTACAGCTGTGGTGCTTGTGAATGAAAACCTGGATAATTAGGTCACAGAATTGAAGAACACTTCCAGTTGTTGAAGGGAGGATGACGCTCAAAACTTGTAGCATTTACGGTCATTTGCAAACGTTTTAAGACCATCTATACAAAATGCAGTACCTCGAAGGAAAACCAAAGTTCAGCAAATGTAAATCTTTGAAACTTACATTTATTTCATTTAGTTATTTTCAAATGGCGAGAAGTGGTGCTTACACTAATATTTGTCCCAGTGGACTGCAAAGCTGCCTTGATCTTTCGACGAGAGCTCAAGGGATCCTTCACAACAATTCACCAGACCACATGGTCTTCACAGGGGGTAGTTTTTTTGGACGACAGTGCCTTTTCTGGTTAGAAATTGAGCCATCTCCTTGAAATTTGAAATGGCATTGTGCACAGCAGTGTTGCTGCAACCAGCCCTCTCACTATTTTGACGTTAAGAGTAAGAGTACCCCTCTTGATGGAGGATCACTATGGGCCCTTTGAACCTGACTTAGACTGGCTTTTTTACCCATGCTGCAGCAGCGGTAAAGACAAAATGCCATACCAGACGTGTCTTGACAAAAACTTCCATTCCAATGGGCTAACAGCACTACTTTTATGTTATGGACCACTAGAACATATTATGTAATCATCCGATGAGACAGAGGAATGCAGGCCCTTTGACAGAAACACCTGTAAAATTCCAGGTGGTCTTAACCTTTTGCAAATGACTGTAACTTCGTTATTTCTCCCCATTTCACACTGTGGTGAATCAAGTTTGACAAATTGCTTTCTTCAAAATTGATGTCTTTTTTGTGATCAAAGCAACACAAATACATATTTACAAGGTAAACTGATGTCTTTGTCAACACTTGGTACTCATAAGGGTGGGACGTTTGCATGTTCAAATGAAAAAAGGTCCAAATCCGATTACAGATTTTTCTAAGTGTCTAAACCAAACCATCCCTTTTAGAGGTTTGACTTTTGGCATTCGTTTTTATTGTAAATGATGCATGGCAACTATAATCAGATTTTCAAAACACTTCATGCTCGGTCGTATCAAAGGAATACCATGAATTCATCAGCGGAGCTTTCTGTCAACTATTTACATTGTATACAATTTGTTGTGTTTAAAGTTTTCAATGACACTGTGGTAAGGGTGAGATGTTTACACATTTAAAAGGTATGGGAATGTTTTATGAACTTTTTCAAAATCAACATTAATTCCCATGCTCTAAGGACGTTGTGATCTCTATGCTTGAGCTGTGGATGAGACTTTTGGACCAATGACAAGTACTGTAGTACTGTTGACAAGCTTTCATCTCGCCGGGCAGAGTCCCGTATTAAATCGGAAGATGGAATAGCCCCAGGAGACTACACATATCTCCCATTTGTATTGGACACACTGCATGTGTGCACTTCATAAATTTTTCATCTTAATGTGCACAATACCCATACTGTCTCTGAAATTGTAACAGACGCATGTAAACTATTTTTCACACCTGCATGGTATGCACATTGGTTTGTGTGCATATCGTATGAAGAACCTGCAATGAAATTTCGTATTAATGTGCACAATATCCATATTGCCCCTGAAATTTGAACAGTCCCATGGAAGCAATCTCTTCAACATGTAAGGGGGGCACCATATGTGCATAGAGTATGAAGTATCGTCAACTAAATTTTCGTTTGACCGAGCGCTGTGCTCAGTCAAACACAAGTTTGTTTTCATGTTGCTGATACACCATGGGAATTGTAGCCGTACTGTCAGCACCAAGGAAACAATTCGTAACTTGTGTCCGGCCATCCGCTGCAGAATCTGAAACAGATCAAGGAGATGCAGCATCAGCGAGACAGCGGTGAATGGCGCAGTCTGTCACCCCTGGATCTGCAGCAGCGAGAGGGTGCCCTGCGCACCAACGGCAGCATAGCGCGCTTCTTCAACGTCATGTCCAACGAGTCCATGAATATTCTAAAGTTCATCACCAGTGGTGAGCGACTGTGGGCTTGTTTTCTAATAGCAGCTTTGCTCACAAAAGTTTCCATTGGCAATGAAACCGAGATGGGGAATGAATACATAATCCATACAGCCAAGTATTTGTTAGACAGTTTCCTTGGAAACTGTACATTAGAACCTCAAAGCAAATGCTGGAAATACAGAGCACAGGATGTCGACACTTTGGCATTTGGCAACAGTTGTTTACTTCAGTCACAGATGCCGTTTGCAACGGATCTGTATTTCATTCCACAGCAAGGTTTTAAACTAGCTGAACACAAAACCAGGATATTTGTTTTGACAGTGATCTAGAGCCCTCTTGATATTTTTTGATAATTTGACATGAGTGAATATCATGATACACCCTGTGTCATTTTGTTCTGGCAACCAACTGTGTACACACTGAACCTGTGCATGTTGGTGTTCCATATAGAAAACACATGCAAGAGAGTGACTGTGGGCACTCGCGCATATTTGTGCTGTCAAACCAAAGGAAGGTTAATCAAAACTATAATTGAACAGGGAACAAAATGATGGTAAGAAATAACTCAAATTTCTAACCTTGTGCCCCTGCTGTGAATGGAGTCTTGTAATTTGTTTGGTAGAAGCAAACATAGAATTCCAACACCTTTATTGTGCTTGTATTTTCAGAGATCAAGGCAATATTTGTGCATCCGGTAATGGTGGACAGAGTGGCAGCCATGTTCAACGACTTCTTGCTGAAGCTGGTAGGTGTCTCATCTCTTTGCCCTAACATGGGACTGTGGCTGCAATGCCCAGAGACCACATGCATCAATGGGGCATAGCCACAGTGGGTAGCCAGTGGCTACCGTTCATGCATGTGTGTATTTCCAGACAGTCATGACTTTTGGAGATGGCTTGCCATCTCATACAGAAACGGCTGTGAGCTTGCAGCAAGCTGTTTTCAGCAAATCATCATCACCAGTTCCAAATATATCCTTTTTAATCAACACAGAGTTTAAATTACATCACGGAGCAAATCCTGATGACTTTTGTAGAATAGAAGAATTCAGCAAAACATTGGTAAAATGGTACGTGAAACTCAAGAAAAGGATGAATGTGGTGAATCTGAGTATTTGGTATATTTGTTTGTAACACACTGCCAATAGGGTAATAGTTGGTGGTGTACTCTTTCGTGATTACACCCATTGTAGCCTACCTCCTGAAAAAAGTAAGCAAGGATTGTTATTTTTCTGCTGTAAGATATTCCTCTTGGTTATTTTTCAACCTAGGTGGGTCCCAAGATGGGTGCCCTGAAGGTCAAGAACTTTGACGAGTTTGAGTTCAGGCCGGGCAGCCTGGTGCAGCACATCTGCCAGGTCTACCTCAACCTGGGCGAGGACGAGAGGTTTTGCGCGGCCGTCTCGCGGGATGGCCGGTCCTACTCGGCAACCCTCTTCACCCGGGCCGACCGGGTCCTGAAGAAGATCATAGCCCCCATCGAGATGATCGAGGCAATGGCAGCCTTTGCCGAGAGGGTCAGGGTAAGAAGTGCATTTGATTTTTGAGGGTGATTCCCTGTTTCCTACCTTGCCAGTGGTATGATCTCTTACAGACACCATTAAGAGCTGTCATTACTCAAAGGGGGATGCACCCCTCCTCTCTGCTCTATTATGAAAGTGAAGAAAGAAGTCTAGAGACTAATCCTGCCACCAGAGGTAAGAAGCCATGACTTTGGTTGTACCTTGTTCACTCACAGGTGGTATGCACATACTTAGGAACCAGCTCAAAACTCATCTGGGACAAGGTGCAGACAGGTTGCAGGTGGCACCACTCACTTCACCTGCAAGAAGCCCTGCATTTGTCCTGGATGAGTCCTGGATGAATTGTCATCAGTTTGTATTTGGCTTGGGGGCACACAGCAGGTCGCCCCACAAGAATGGTTTGTGGGTTCCAGAAAAATGACCTTAGATTGTCCAGCACAAGCTACCTATTAAAGTGCACTGTGATGGTCAGACCTTGATGTCGTAGTACTCACAGTTCCAGGAATATGAGTATTTTCACTGAGCTTTCTTCACTCTACCAAAACAAAGGATCATCCACTCTGGGACTGCAGCACTGTTAAACACATGTGCAGCCTTACCAAAAGGACACGCTTTTTGAGTACGCTGCCACCACCGCAGCATTTCCTCAGATTATACACTGAGATTTGTAATCCCCAGTCTTTTGTTTGGATCCCAGATTTTGGGCAATTAGGTAGCCAGTTTTGATCTCTAACATGCCCTTCACAAACCAGGGCTAGAGGAGCATATCTGCTAAGTTCAGTGCTGGAGAACAGTACTGCAAACCGGACTAACCGTCTCCGAGGGGTTACCTACAGTCTTATAATCCATAGCAACTGATAACAATCAAAGTCTCTTTTGGTTTCAATGTATACATACATTAATGCATATTCATTAAAACCATTCCGTTTCTTGGTGCCAAAGTCAAATTTGTTCAGAAAAACACAACCAGATGTTGTTATTCTTTCTTTCTTTGTCACAGGCCATGGCAGCTAAACAGGAAGAGGAAGAGGAAACCTTTGCTGATGCCCCTGATGAGTTCATAGACCCTTTGACCTTTACCCTCATGAGTGACCCCGTGACCCTGCCGTCCTCCCGCATAGTGATGGAACGAGCTGTTATAGCCAGGCATCTACTGAGGTGCAGTGCTCGGTGCAATTTCCTTGTGAACCTTCAACTTTGAAACAAATATTTTGACAAATGCTAGAAACTTATGAAATCTTTCATCTCTTGGAAACGTTAGGATTTGGGAAAATGACCTTTATCTGAGTACTGCATGTGCTATTGCATATGGCCCCCCAGCATTCTGGAACACAATTGGTTCATGACACCGTTTAACTCATCTTTAGATTGACCAAAACATTTTATTTGGAAGTTTGCAGAAGCCTCTTTTAGGGCCAATCTTTGTCATGATTTGCCAAGGTTCTAAAAAGAATTGACGAACTTGAAGTTTCAGACAGTACAGTTGTGGTTGAAAAGCGACCTACACTTCAGCTGCAGGTGTCTAATTACAGTGTTAAACTTTTATTCCTGGCAACCATTACTTTTGTATATCTGATCAATTTGAACATCTATAGCTGAAGTGGTACTTGGAATGTTTCATGGGCCCAGTGAGCAAGGGTGATAACAATGGAAAGTGCTGGATAAATCTCGGACTGAAACACTTTCAGTCCGAGCAGGTGTAAACTGTCGACCCCAGCTGCAAAAGACTGATCCTGATTCCTCCAATCTCATTTACCAAACAAGTTTGAAAAAGAATGCCTTCTTGGCTTATCTTGTATTCCAGTGACCACACTGATCCGTTCAACCGGTCACCCCTCACCATGGAGGAAGTCATTCCCAACGATGAGCTGCGGGAGAAGATTGAAACCTGGAAGCGGGAGAACTCCAAGAGGAAATGAGTCCCAGACTCCAATGTAGGGCATCAATTGCCTAGGAATCCTCACCCTGGAAATTTATCTGGCGCAGGGAATATTTGGTAACCGAAAAATTGCTTTACCAGCTGAGTCTAGGGTAGCATTTAGTCAAGGCGTGGGTGGCACTTTAGACACTGGAAATATGAAAAGGACCAGTCCTTTGGCAAAATCACAGGAGCTAATTAATATTTATTTATTCAAGTTATTTGAATTATATGTTTTAGGCTTTGCTCATTTTAAGGGTGCTGGGAGCATGACCTTTGTTGGTAGTACATTCATTGTTGACCCAATTGATATCCAATGTAAGCTTCAAAGATACGGCATTTTTTCGTGAATGCATTTGACGATGCAAATAATTCTACAGTTTGATTGGTCAGCGTGAGAATTTCTCGATCAAATTGGGAGAGACATGTAAAGAAAAACATAAGCCTTTCCCATGTGATACCGGTACAAACGGCAATCGCAGCTTCCCCATTCACTTTGGTCAGTTTTTCATGTTGTATGTAAGCCTTCCTGGTGCTGTACACTCCTTGACTATGGCCAAGTTCTGGGCTGGTATAATAGCAGTTGAATTTGAACTGCATGATGTTTTCTGCTTCCCGCCTTTAGAAACAGAGCCCTGGTCATATCTAGCTCATCGCACCACCACTGTCAGGCACTGATGAGGGTTTGTGGACCGTAGAAATGTAATAGGCCTATGTACTGATGACATCACACTTCGTTAAATTAACAGACATATGCATTCTCCTGTGGAGCTAGTGAGGGCCCCCAGTTGTCGCGTACCACAGGAAAGCACACTTGTAAAAATAGTACAGATGTCATTGGGTTGCCATATGCTGTTAGTGATAGGCATAGAACTATTGATAAAATTTTTGGGCAATTAAGCTAATAGCGTTGGCACATTTGTTGCCTGCACCGAAGACTCTTTCCCTTTTTTGATGGTTGACGAGAACATATGGGCTGTTTTGTAAATTTGGGCTCCAATTTCCTTTCGAGTCCTGGTACATCTGGCGTGATTCTGCAAGGTTAGAACACACTCTTTCATTCCCACGAGTAATTCAGTATTACAAATTACCTACAAATCAATTACAACTCAATTTCAGTGGTTCCTCCATGTCCAATTACAGCGGTCAGGGGTAACAGGGACATAAAACTGCCACAATCTCTGGACCGTGGATGCGTAGAGTGACCTGTCTGTGTATCACTTGAGAGTTTCAGAGTTAAAATTAGTATACTTGCATA